CTTTCTGGTGCTTTCACTTCCAGAGACAGTTGTAAGCACTGTGTAACTGCCTCGAGGGTGCTTGACCATTTTAACACAACGTGGTGCGATCATCCCCCTTGCGCGGAGTGAGGGTTCACCCCGCACAACATGATCTACTCAACCATCATTATGGTTACCGCCCAAAAAAAATAAACGGAGGAAAAAAAAAAAAACGGTAACCTGGTTGCCGAGTTCACGAAGTGAATTGGCTTGTTTTACAACGTCGTTGCCAAGCGACGAAAACCCAATCCCGATGGCAAACACCGGGGGGGGCGGCTTGTTTTACAACGTCGTTGCCAAGCGACGAAAACCCAACCCCGATGGCACACATCGGGGGTGTGTGTGTGTGTCGGGGGGGGGGATCATCTGCTCCACTTCGCGCCACCCCCTTTCGTCTCTTCTTCCAGCGTTGTTTCTTTGTTTTGGCGCTCCTCTGTCTGTCGCTGCTCTCTCCCACGCACCCTTTTAGAAGAAATGGCCCGCAAAAGACCCCGAAAACTCGCCTGTCGTTTGTACATGGCTTTTGCTTAGCCCTCGCTCGTTGTGGAGACACTTTCGCACAGTCGCGGTGGCGGAAGGGTACTCGGCACCAGGACAACCAGGTATCGCCCGCGTTCGAAACACTTTTAATGAGGAGGGCTAATTTGCACGCGCTACTCTCACGTTGCGCGTTTTTGTTGCGGCTTTTTTTTTTCACGCAAGCAGGCCGTCGCAATCCCGACGCCATCGGAGCTGGCCTTCTCCGAGGCTTGCATGCTGCTTACCAAGATACTCCTGGTGGAGGTGCGGGACGTCCTGCGGAGGCACATGTCCAAGAAGCTGGTCGACGACGTTCTGGCGCAGAGGTGGGATGGTTGTTATCCCTGCGTCAGAGGTCGGGCTGAAGTCAGGGTCAAGATTGGATTTAGTGTTTAGGGGGGTTTGGTTCTGGTTTGGGCGATAGAGGTGGGGTTGATAAGCTTTTTGTCTGCGTTGGAGCTAGGCTTATGTCACGAACAGGCTTTTTTTCCAACACCGTCTTTTCAATCTGCTTGCTTCACCTTTCTTGTTGGAAATCAAACCGATCAATCTACTAGCTGCTTGCTGTTGGCCTGCTGTTGTTCGGGGGATTGGGTCCACACCTCACCCTCTTTTGTTTTCCCCCAGACCGGTGAACCTGTTGACCTGGCCGGAGGTGGCTGGTGACGCCTTGGTGGCGTTGGTGAACCATCGGGCACACCCGGAGATGCGTACGAGTGAGATGGCGGCGCTCCTCAGCGTCCGACCGTCGGGCTGGCTCGCGAGGTGCGTTGTTGTTGCTGCTGCTGCTGCTGCTGCTGCTTTTGTTGTTGTTGTTTCTTGTCGGCTATTTTGTTGTGCGGTCTTCGTCGTCTTCGTTGTTTTTTTGTTGCTGCTGCTGCTGCTGAATCCTATCAGCCCAATAGCTGTTGTGTGGATTGTATTTTTTGGATGTCTGCAGCCTTCGTCGGTTTCCCCCGAACAATGGTGACCAACGCGAGAATAGGGTGCTCGTTCTGTTAGGGACTATCACAAAGGTCAGTTGCGGGACAAGCGCACGATAGACTGCTGGGAACCACTCTTTTTATTTTCAGCAACAACAGCATCATCAGGTACTTTTTTTTTTTGCAGCAACAGCATCATCAGGTGCAACAGAACGCAACGCAGACTGAGAAAGGGATCATGGCTTGAACCGAGTTGCCCGCAGGCAGCAGCAGCAGCAGCAGCAATCTTGCGCGGGGTGTGTGGCGTTAGCCAGTAGGAAAAGGAACCCGGCGACCCCCCCCCCCCTAACCCCGTCCTGCCCGCCGCCCCGTCTGTTCCCGCAGGTGCGGAGACATGGTAGCGATTTTGATCTCGAGGCCGCTGGCGGCGGCGTTCGTGCGACCGGTGGACCCCGCACAAGTGCCCGGGTACGCGGACGTCGTGTCCAAGCCGATGGACCTGGTGAGGCTCAGATTTTCTTGGCATGTGTGTGTGTGTGTGTGTGTGTGTGTGTGTGTGTGTTTTTTTGGTGTTTCTCGTCCGCTGGGAGTCCCAGCATTGCATAGGTTGGTTGTTACATACGATGATTCGTGCGCTGGAGCCTGAATGTGCGTGTTGTGCCACTGGAAAAGTGGTTGTTCGTTCTGGTGTCCATGTACAGGTACTCGGGCCTTCCTTCGGCCTGGCGTTCAACAAATCGTTTCTTTTTAGCAGATTGATGTTGTCGCTGTGGTGTGGTGTGCGTCGTGGTGTTGCTCATGTTTGCTTGGTGACGCCGCTGTTCATCTTGGGGACACCTGGTGGTACTCGTACTGACTGCTGTAGCGTTGGTCCTGCTTCAACACTCCTTTGGTGTCCAAGCCGGCTGATACACACACGACGCTGCGGCTTGTGTCTTCCCTTCCTTCTTCCCCCCCTGCCCTGTCTCTTCTGGGCGCAGAGCACCGTGCGCCGAAGGCTCTGGAGCCGGCGCTACCAGTGGCACCAAGAAGTCGTCGACGACCTGCGTCTCGTGTGGTCCAACGCGAAAGTGTTCAACCAGGTGCTTGCTTGGTTGTGCGCGAAGTAGTCCGCCTCTGTCGTCGTGGTCGCATCATAATATGGTTCCGATACTGTACACCGATACTTGGTGCCCTCAACGAACGGTAACGGTCTCGTATGCCTCCACACTGGCACTGTGTTGTCTAGGGGCACCGTGACACGCCGCAATCCCACCCGCCCTCCCCACGGTTCTCTTTTTGATCACGATGCAGGAGAACACGGACTACTGGCACGCCGCGGACTCGCTCGCGCTGCTGACGGAGTCCTTGTACGAGTCATGGGTGTTGCAGCCGGAGAGACGGAGAGACGCCGAGAGCATGAAGGAGGCGGGGCTGGGAGTCGTGGACGCTCCCACCCCCGCCGCCTCCTCCTCCGCCGCCGCCGCCGCTGCTCCGGGGGTGACGACGCCAGCCACCGGCGCGCAGGTGGGAGGGGGCTTTGAGATCGACTCTACGTACCCCCTCCGGTCTGCTACATATTAAACGTTGCATGGATGTGTAGATTCGAATGAGTATACACATGGACAAGTCAGAGGGCGTGGCCCCAGTACGCGGCATGCCTTGCGGTCGTTTGCGCCCAGGTTCACCATCGTTCCGTCCTTGGATGTGGTACATGCCTCTTAACGTAGATTACCGGTGCTGGACCATTTTCTGGAGTACTCCTGCTGTTGTACGGCCGCTTGACCCTCGTTCGTCATGACCGGTATCGCATCCTGCGACTGCTACCGCGCAGGTTAAGCAAGAGGAGTACACATCGCCAGGTACCGCCACCGCGGGTGAAACCACTGCCGCCGCAGCCGGCGGAGTGGTCGTGGTCAAGAAGGAGGATGAGCACCCCGCGGTCGGCGCTGCTGGCACAGACGCCACCGGTGCCGCGGTGCCCTCCACGACGCAGACGGCGGCATCGAGGGTGGAGCCTGGAACTCGGCTGTCCTCCTCCTCCCCCGCCGCCGCTGCGGGGACGGACGCCAACGCGGCTTCTACTGCTGCTGCTGCCGGTACAACCACGGGGATGGATGTCGATCAGAGTGGGACTGGGGACGCTGACGCGAATATCACTGCTGCCGCCGCCACCGCTGCCGTTGTCGCCACGGTGAAGACCGAGCAGCAGCAGGATACGCCGGCGGGAGCAGCACAGGAAGCAGCAGCAGCAGCAGCCCGGCTTAGTCCCAACGCCGACGGCAGCACCAGCAGCGGCGGCAAAAATTCGAGTAATTCCGTCGAAGCGAACGGGGCTGCTTCAACCGCCGGCACCAACGGTGGCTGCGTGCAAAAACCCGACGAGGAGGCCGGGCAGCAGCGAGGAAATGGGGGCACCGCTCCGGCGATCACCACCACCACTGCCCCCCCTGCCGCCCGCGCCCCCGCTCCCGCCGGCATCTCCCGCAGCACCTCCACCGGCGGCCGGCCGGAGCGGCTTCCCCTCGACCCGGCCTCGGTGCACCCGGCCTTCGCCGGCAGGCGGCCGCTCTCCAGGCACGAGTCGCCGGCGTCCGGGCGGTCCTACGGTCTTTGGGACCCCGCGGCCGTGCACCCGGTCTACTTCGGACACCTCCGGCACGACGGGGAGGCCTCGGGCGCCGCGGGCCTCGACGGCTGGACGGGGGCCGGGGACGGCGGGGCGATCGACCGCGCTCTGCGGGTGCTACGAGGGGCGGCCGACTCCGAGGTAGCGGCGGCGGTGGTGGCCGGCGGGGCGGGGAAGGAGGTGGCCGGGGTGGTGAGGTGGTCGGCGGAGGAGCGGGCGACAGTGCTCGGGCTGCTGTGCGACGAGGTCTCGGCCACGGGAGTCGCTGTCGACCACATGAAGGTAGGGGGTGGGGACGGGCGGAATGCGAACTGTAGGTAGCTTGCTTGCTTTTGCGGATGCGTAGATGATAATTTGGGCTTGGGGGGTTATGCGTAGGAGTACACAGGTTGATCTACGTTTGCATATAACGTTGGTGAAGTTTCTGCCAAGTACAACTACGATTGCATCCACTAGTTAGCTGTCATCCTGCGGCGAAGACCAAGGGAGTCAGTCTATCTAGTTTGGCGGTTGAATCTCCAGTCTCAAAGTGAAATTGCTGGCACAGACCTAGGCGGGTTTGTTCAACTCACATGCGTCGTGTCGCGTACGTTTGCGTTGTTTTGTTCATGCTCGAAGACGGAGCGGAGCGTCCACCTCACGCGAACCTTACGTTTTGCGGCAATGGTGAACGTTCTTCATGTATCACCGCTCCGAAGACCTTGATCTTGTAACCCACCTGCACTGGGCACACCCAAGGATCTGTGCGGAAGGACCGTCTCTCTCTCTCTCTCTCTCTCTCTCTCTCTCNTCTCTCCGTCTCTCTCTCTCTCTCTCTCTCTCTCTCTCTCTCTCTCTCTTTCTCTGCGTGTGTCGCGTTTTTGTGTCTCGGCGTGTTTCTCCCTCTCACCTCGTTGTCTGTGTGTCATCTCCCTCGTGGTGGTGCTTCCCTCTGACCTGACCTCGGACTCGCCACCTCACACGCACAGCACTCAATCTGTTTTTGTTTCCCCTCTGGCCAGTCTCTAGTGTTCTCAATCCCTCACCCGGCTCCTGGCCCCCCCCCCCACCCACCCCCGAGTGGTAAATGGTCTAACCCGCTAGAGGCATGCAAAACATGAGGACGCCTCCCCCGCCCCCACCGGCAGGTGCTCGTGGTGAAAGAAACCGCAAGCGCCAGAGAGAGGGCTGCCGTGGAGAACGGTGAAGGAGGCGACGGCGGCAGCGAGTCGGGGGATTTGGATGGGGACGACTCGGACGGCGACGAGCCGCAGTTCGAGGCACCGGGAGACGACGAAGTGCCCGTCCGGGAGCTAGCGCTTGTCCCCGCAGGTGCAGACGTGACAGCACCGCAGAACCCTACGCTCTCCAGCAGCAGCAGCAGTTGCAGACGTTGGTCCTAATCTGTGTGGCCCTTTTTTTTTTTTTTACTGCTGTGCCTACAGGGACGCCGTTTCGTTTTTCCCCCGCGCGCGCATGCACGGGGCGACGGGGGAGGGGTACGATAAGTGTTCGAGTCAAGGTCTCATGTTTGGGAGCAAGCAAGAAAGGCACCAAGCTTGTGGAACACCCTTGTAGTTGTGTGCTGTTGCTGCTCACGTCTTGCATACAACCCACCTAAATAATATATTCACCACCAAATATTTCAGGAAACAACGTGTTGAGCGAGCGAGCGTACTTTTGGTGCTGTGTAGATGGACAAAACACAGATATGGCGATGGGTATCTTGCTACTACTGCTGTCTTACATGCAACACACGAACTTTTAGTTTTGTTATCAAACGTAAGGTTGTCTAGTCGTTGCAAATGGTGCGGAACACGGAGACATATTAATATTCCACCCAACTCTTTATCGGAACACACAAAGACAAGCAACGAACATCACTGGATAACAACAGGTGCCGACGATGTGAAAGAGGCGGCCGGCGTCTGCTGTCTCTGCGGCGGAGCCGAACTGTCCGCCGGATCCGACCCCGTCGACTCCCTGTCGTCCTCGGGGGCGCTG